TCATTTGGGTGTTACAAACAATCTTGCGTGATTTACAGTTGAATTGTGAAACTGAAAGTTAAATGCAATGAAAAATTGCTTGTTCAAGTGAATGAATGAAACAGTTGTCTTACTGGATATCATGAGAAATGGTGGACGAACCGGGTACATAGGGAACCCTACCGTGAACGTTACCTCATACCAGAATGGGTATCCAGAAAAGATATTTTTGACGCTCATACCAGATGAGATATGAGGACGACCTGATTCATCCTCATACCAAACGAGGTATTGAAGGATGGTACTTTTGACGCTCATACCAGACGGGGTATGAGGATGACCGGTTAGTTGACAAATTTTGTTATAGGTTCACGCGTAGTGGGATATCTCTATGGACTCCCAGGGATACCAGTAAATAATTAAAATGGAGAAAGTTGTCGTTCTGACTAATTGAACATGGAGTTATGATGTTTTTGTGTTATTATCTTTATATGTCGTTTTTTTAAAAATCTCGCTACGGTAAGTATGTAGTAAATGATTTTATTGATGATAAATGAATTTACTTAAATTAAGAGCTCCATTAATTATTTTTATGATTTTTATCAACCTTCATTTCTGTATCGGTGAGTAGTGTGACATTTTTATTGGAGTAGTGTAGCTCACTCTTTCATTAAATATTTCATATCAAGAGGACCAAGATACAGATCTCGATCCACAAGAGGGTCGCGAATAAGATACCCAATTGTTTACTTTTTATTTTTTTTTTTTATTTTTCGTTGTTCTTTTAGAATTGTCATTCCCGTAACCCTATTGGGTATTCTAAATTATTGTGTAAGAAATGTAAATGCTAACTTTATTATTTCGCTTCCGCATTGAATTTATAATTTTATTTCCTTTTAAGTTCTGGACCGTTACAATTTCAATAATTTAAATTATTTTCATTTATTCATTTATTTTATTTAACATAATTAAAACCAGTATTATCTATTTTAAAGTACATATTATTTTAATAATTTAATATATAATTACCATATTATGATTTTATTTTTAAAATTTTGTAATTTGATAGATTAATAATATAAAATTAATTAGTATTCTTATTTATTTTTTAATTTTGATAGTAAAATTCATATTTTTATTAAAAATAACTTTTTAACCGTATATTGAATTTAATAGTGTGCTATTTTTTTGAGTCATCAGCTTATTAAAGAACATATCCATCATCTTTATCGCCCTGTTTATATGATGATAGTAGATCATAAAGTTAATCATGCACGAGAAAAAGTAAATGATATAGCTCTAAGAGTACTTCAATGAACAAGGTTCTCAAGAAAATAAAGAAGAACAAAAAACCAAAGACGAGAAAATGAAAGAAGATTCTGAACATAACCTCAATAGACTATTTTGTCCAATATGCACGGAAGTATGAGTACATTTGAAGGAACATCATGTTTGCTAACTGAGAGTTAGCTTAAATTATGCTTTTTTAACTACAAATTTTCCTCTTAAATTGTGCATTCTCAATGTCCATATAAAAAGTTAAAATGTTTATTGATGATATAATCAACAACTAATGTCAACTAAATAGTCTTACAATTGCATTTCTAACATCATGAATTATAATTAGTCAATACTAATTGTAGATAAAGAACATGAACGGTAAGGAATAAGATAAGAGACCAAAAAGAAATTCATTAAAATTCTAAACAAGAAACATATAGCTTTTTTTTTTTTTTTTTTAAATAAATATTTTAAGTAACTTATTATTTTAATATTTATTTTAAACATTGTTTCTGACTAAATAAAAAAATTAAAAAAAACAATATTTTTGTCAATAAAAATAGAAATTATAAGGGACGGTTTAACCTTTTCTAAAACTAATTTTCTGAAAAATATAAATTAATATTTGATATAATTATTAAAAAATATTTTTAATTTTTAGTACTATATTTAATTAATTATATTTTAAAGTTAACAAAAATATTAAAATGAAAGACATATAACCATAAAAAATTAATTATTATAATTATGCAAATAATATTTTTCTAAATTTTTTTTAATAATTTCGATTATTTTTATTTAATTATTTATTTTATTTAACATAATTAAAATCAGTATTATCGATTTTAAAGTATATATTACTATAATAAGTTGATATTAAATTATTAATGTTAAATTAATATTATAATTTTATTTTAAAACACTGACTATGAAATTGGTGGGCTATTTTGCCCAATATGCATGGAAGTCTGGACGAATTCCAGAGAAAATCATGTCTGGTAACTGCAAATTGGCTTCAATTACACTTCTCCGGCTAAAATTTCTTTTGCGTTTAGTTTTTAAAATGGACATTTGTTGCAACTACAATTTCTTACGCACTGTAG